CATTTGGCCTGGGCTGTGGCCTCTCAGATTCTGGGCCCTCTCAGGGGATGTCAGAGAGCCAGTTTCTGCCGATCCCCACAAGCCAGGCTGAGGCTCCACACGGGTGCATGAATTAGTGCACCGGGCCTCTACTGAAAACATAGTAAACAGAGAAAGACAGAGAAAAGGACCTTAAACCTGAAAATATTAGCCCACCCCAGGTAGACAAGGTACAAAGACATCACTGGAAATAATCTTCATATCCAGGTCCAGCATTCTCATTGTTTGATCACTTGAGTTTCGTCAACTGATGCTAACCTCTCCAAAAAAAGAACAAATGTTTGGGGGATTATGGGTGTTTTATGCTGATCATCTCTTTCCTTTGAGGAATTACGAGGGATGCCAGGGCACATCTCCTGAAGGCTTTAGCCAGCCCTGTGTTTGGCTTTAACATATAGCTCTGTGTGCATTAGGGTTTTGAATTGTGTTTAGAACTAAACAGCCACAAACAAAGCCCAGCGATCATAAAATTCATCTACCATTGAACCAGAGAGGCAGCAGGTGGAGGGCCCAAGGGGAGCCCCAGAAATCAATTTCAGGGAATCCATGGTTGCATTAAAGAGATCCCTGACTGCTGATTAAATTCTCCTCTTGCAGTAAAGTGTTTGCAAATGCACATTGAGTCCTGTAAGGCTGAGGACTGGGGAGCGTGAGGAATGTGTTTCTAAGGTGTGTTTCTCATATTCAAAATATTGCACTTCCGGCCCGTCCAGCGGGGCTCTTTGGTTGAGCATAGACCTATTGACCAGGAGGTCATGGTTCTATTCCTGGTAAAGGGCACATGCCCAGGTTGCGGGCCAATCGCCAGTATGGTGCGTGTAGGACACGGCCGATCAGTGATTCTCTCTCATCATGGATGTTTCTCTCCCTCTCAATCACCCTTCCTCTATGAGTCAATAAAAACATTTTTAAAAATATTAGCATCTCACACTTGGGGGAGGGGGGCAGGCTTACAACAGAACTTCCATTAGAATTGGGTTGACCAGATGTCCGAAAATGAAAAGAATTTGCTACCTCACGTGCTATGAAACATTCCTGTCCCTGCGTTGGTGACTACAAACCAGAGTTTTGGAGACGGGCACTTGTATTCTTTTCAAGAAACTTAGAAATTTGCTTGATTCTGGGTATTTCTATGCACTGCAGTTCAGGTTGTGAATAAACCAAGCGCCTGAGCTGGTTTGGCTCAGAAGATACAGCGTCGGCTTTTTTTTTCAAATATATTTTTATTGAATTGAGAGAGGAAGGGAGAGACAAAAACATCAACGATGAGAGAGAATCATTGATTGGCTGCCTCCCGCATGCATGTGCCCTGACCGGGAATTGAACCGTGACATCCTGGTTCATAGGTTGATGCTCAACCACTGAACCACACCGGCTGGACTGGATTAATATTTTGGCTAGATTTCATCTATTGGTCCTCTAGCAATGAGAAAGACCTGAAGGTAAAGGAGCTCGGTGAAGATATGTTTTAATGGGAACTTCCAAGTAGAGAAATCTCAAGTCCCACCCCCTGACCTCTTTGCTTTGTTTGGCCTCTCCCTTCTTATAAAAGCCTCTGCCTGCACTGAGATGTGAAGATGGGTTTTGGGACTAGCTTCCCCCATCTTCTCAGGATGCTGGCACCTGAATAAACCTCTTTCCTTCCTGACGACCACCTGTCTCACGGGACTTGATTCTGGGGTGTGAGTTAAGCGAACCTTGTTTTTCTGGACATAATCCTGATACATGTACTCCTGGGAATATGGGTATCATGGTCATGTTCTTTCTTCTGCAGGTGACAGGGGGAAGAAGAGACTGGTCACAGAGGAAAGGAGGTAGGACGGTGCTTTGCCTTCAGAGCAAGAAGAGCATTTGCCTTGAGCAAGAAGAACAGGTAAGAAAGAGGTGGATGTGAGGAGGAAGAGGAAGGATTGGGGATGGAGTCTGCTCTGAATGAGGAATTTGGGCTTTGTGGACTGAAGTGAGTTTAGCAGCAAAACCATACAGCTCTTGCCAAGAGCATGGCCGAAGTTTGGGGAAGGGAGAGATCATTCTATAAGTGATGTTATGAGACCTCAGGAATCCTTCTTGCTGTTTCACCTGTCTCTTTGCTTCTTGTTTTCCCGATCAGCTATCCCAGTATCAGTGTGTCCCTCAATATTTTGGTCTTGCCTCTCACAACAGCACTTGAGAAAGAAGTTCGCTGTTAAGAAGCCCACCTGGACGTTTATGTTAGCTTTGTTCCTCTGCCAGCCGTTAAAGGTATAGCATATTATTTCCATATTATTTGCATGGGGTGACTTGTTATATGGTTTTGAGTTCCCTCTCAGATGATCAGAAAGAAGGTGGTGGTGTCAGGACAAAAAGAAGAGTTGAACCAACTAAAAAGTTTTAATTAAGAATAAAAGAAAAGGAAAGGAAATAAAAGAGCCCGGCTGCCATGGCTCAGTTGTTTAGCTTAAACCAAGGACCTGGAGATGTGGATTCGATTCCCAGTCATGGCACGTGCCCGGGTTACAGTCTAGTTCTCCAGTAGGGGGCATGGAATCGCCATTCCGTGATTCTCTGTCTTCATTGAACTTTCTTTCTCTCCCTCTACATTTTTCTCTGAAATCAGTAAAACTAAATGTAAAAAAAGAAAGAACAGTCATAGCACAGTAAAGTAGAGCATTGAGTCTATGCAATTGTATATAATAAAAGGCTAATATGCGAATCGAGCAAACAGCAGAATGACTGGGTGCTATGACACGCACTTTCCACTGGGGGCAGATGCTCATGAGAAGAGCTGTCCACCGGTGGTCAGTGCACTCTCTCAGGGGGAGCACCTTCCATTCAAATGCCAGGCTCACAGGTGCCGAGCACAGAGGAGTGGTGGGAGCCTCAATGGCAGCACTCTACCAGGCCTAAACTGTCAGCTGGACATTACTCAAGGGGTCTTGGCCTGGGAGAGGCTGAAGGCTTGGCTGAGCGACCTGCCTGAGTGCATAAATTTTGTGCACTGATTGTGTAGTATCAATAAAATAACTGTGTATGGTGTCAGAAGGCTATGAGATTAATTGCATAATTTCTTAGTCCATCATATAATGTCTAATCATTGGGTTGTACCTATGAAATGAACCTAAGGTTGTATGTCAACTGCCATTTAAAAAATGTTTTAAAAATACTATAGGACCATGTTACCTTAACAGAGTCACATTATACTTCAAATATGTTTTGTACAATTTGTTCTACAAGAGATATCTAAAACTAAAAAGAAAGAAAAGATGAGATTTATAAATTTTCAAAATAAACCAAAGGCAACCACAAGCAACCAAAATCCATAAAGATAAAAGCCGAGGGAAAATGCGTTTGCAGATCCGATCCCCTGTGTTTTGATTTCAGGACCGAAGTAGCGAGAGGCTCTTAGAAGCTGCGGCTCTTGCTCCTTGGACCACGGAGGGGTCATGGCCGAGCTCCCGACGAAGGTGCACGTCACCTCACACCCCATCTGCCTGAGGATCCTTGGGCACTCGGTATACCAGGACGCGAAGCAGCGCACGTGGGTGCATCTCGTCATGGAGACAGGAGGTGTCCTGCAAGTACGGTTGCAGCAAGAAGACATTCCCAGTGGGCATGTTGCACTCACCACCAGCCCACTGACCTCGAGCACCATGGCCTTGATGTGGACGATCCACCCTGGCAACCAGTACCTGGACTGCATGTGCCGGTCCTGGCACATTGTGCACCACATCAAGGAGGATGAGATGGAGGAAATGATCCTTGAGTTGATGGAAGGCTCGGAGGACAGGTGATGGGGTCCCTGGCTCTTGTCAACCTGAGCCCCCGTCCTGCTTCCCTACCGGAGGGACGTGTATAGTTCTGTTCACCTTTTTAATAATCTCTGTTGTTCTCTCTGCCACCCCCTGGGTGCGAGGGCACATTGATGTCTCTCTCTCTCTCTCTCTCGCTCTCTCTCTCTCTCTCTCGCTCTCTCTCTCTCTCTCTCGCTCTCTCTCTCTCTCTCTCTTTCTTC